CGAGTCAAAACTTGACACCTGAGATTAGATGGCTGCACGTTTGCTTGACACTATAAATTCCACCCTAACTGGGGATATTTCTATGTTCTGATGACAGACACCATCTCTTTAGGTATTAAGTGCACATAAGTAGAAACCTAGCCAAATATCCATCAGCAATGGGGTGTATGAGCCCCCCGTCAGGCTCACAGCTCTCACTCTCCATTGCAGAGACGTGTACAACCTCACACAAAGACCCAGGGTACCTACACTGGAGCCTCTGTTCCCACTTGGGCTGGGAAAGCAAGCCTGTGCTGGTGCATCTTTTATACAAAAGAAGGATCAAAACATCTCTCTCATGCCTCAGCCTTGCCCTGACATCCTCCCTCTGCTCCCCCCAGCACCTTCTGTGGGGATTTTCTGCCTCCCACGGGGCTGAGTACAAGCTGTCCATTCCTCACCTCAGACCCAACAAAGCTGCAGATGCTGGAAGTATCACTTGCTCTAAATACCTGCCCTGTTTTCCTCTTTACAAAAAGATATAGCCATAATTTAATGGAAAATGTATGCAGGAAGAGAAGGATTTGATTTTCTGACTGCAGAAAGAGTGAAGCTCCCTTGTGGAATTTAAATATAAATATACCTATTTGATGGCTTTCCCTTTTTTTTTTTATTTTTTTGCCTGACCCTCTCAGCATTTCAGCATATGAATAATTGTAGTCATATAAACAAAATGGGCTTCTTCATGGATGAAACACACACGAGAGATTTGTACCATTAAAATGCTATTTAAACCATTTTAAGGGTTTCTGAAAGACTGAAGGGTACACAGGCATGGTACCCTCTGGGAGAGGATCCGTGTCACTGCCAGTGCCACGAGGTTACTTCTGTGCCTGAGCAGCTGCAGGATGGGAGGCTGAATATTAAAGAAATAACCACTCACAACAATGCACTCAATGCCCTCGTTGTACCCATTTGATTTTCAGAGCTCCACATTCCCAACCCTTACAGCTATGCCCACGGATGCAATTCTGCCTGCTCCATGCACACAACTGCTGCCTTGGCAGCACTACAGATCTGGCCTGTTGGATCTAGGTGACAAATCTGGGGGGGGGAAAAAAAAATCTGGAGTATTTAGAGGCCATGCTGTGCCTTTCCTCTGGAAATATTTTTATAAGATCCAACCCAAACTTCAGACAATTCATTAAACCTCAAAGGGATCCCTGAATTGTGCTTTTCTTAATGAATTCAATAATCGATTCTTACAGCACAAATAAGGTGTGGGATGGATCAGCTAATAAGCATTCTCAGTTAATTGCTTTCTTCAAGTGACAATTTGTACAAATAATACCATCAAAGTAGTAATAATATCCTTATTGATTAAATTAATCTCTAAAAGACAACTCAAATAAGTTTAATTAGCAATGCACAACAGAAGCACAAAATACTCCAAAAACAACCTTGTAACCCATCCCAGATTTTGAAATCATGGCAACAATCATGCTGTAGACTTCTGCCTCTTTATTCAAACAGGCACGTGCAATTTTATGGAGCATCCTCAGTGAATGTCTGTGACTAACCACGAAGACCCATGAAACCCTCCCTGCAGAGGAAAAGTGAGACACGCAGCAGTCTGCCCACTTAGTCACGCAGACACTGAAAGCCAGAGCCACAAACAGCTTTAAAATAAAATAAAATTCTTCAGCAGAAGGAGCAGAGACAGTCAGAGAAGCCTCTGTGCCAGAATTCACACGTGGTGGGGACCTGGAGCAGAGTCAACATTTTCAAGCCGTGGAAACTGGACACCAGGTTTACAGACTCAGAGCAGAAACTTGTTCAGCACAGCCAGGGGCTGTGAGAGTTGGCTCAAAGTTTGTCAGGGAGAGCAGGTCACTCTTTCTGGGACCAACAGCAGGAGCCTGACCTGAGGAAGGGGCCAGGCTGTGCTCCCCAGCACCCACACGCTCCACAGGAGAGAGTTTGAAGCAATAATTGCTCTTCTTATTTCTGTGGCAAGAACAACACCAGGTCTGTCCTTCTGATAGCAGCATCCCCAGTGTCACCTGGTCAACGGGCAGGTGCAAGGGTGAGATTTCCACAAACAGTCTGCTGGGGGAGTTCCCAGTGCAGGAACTGATCAAAGGTTTGCTCCCTGTGGCTGTCACCATAGGAAGAAAGAGCTGCCACTATTATAATTTGATTGCAAAGCACAATCTGGGGAGTAAGGGCAAAGAAACTAAAGCAGGCTGCAAACTCCTCTGCTGAAATATTAGCCTAAATTGCCTTGCTTAGCAAACACTTCTCTGCTCTCTGCCAAGAAAAGGGGAGTTAGACCCAGTTCTGCCTCAGGAAGTGAAGTAGTGGAATCAGGGACAAGAGGAGGGAATAAGCACAACCTTCTGGAGATGCTCCAGTCTGACCAGAGACAACAGCACTGGAGAGAACAGCACGTTCCCCTCGTCAGGGCCACAGCCACCCCGCCAGCAGAACAGGAATCTGCCTGGGGCAGCAACATGCTTAATGGCTTTATTATTACTGTTATCTTTGGAGCAACCTGAGGATGTTTCCCAGCACGTCCAGGAGAGCAGCAAGCCCAGAGCCACCTCCATCCAGATGAAGAAAAGGGGTGTATTTTTTTGAAGTGGCTCCTACAGGAACTTTCTCATTCAGCTAACTGGATTCAGCAGCTCAAAGAGATGGCCCCTATATTTCACCACACATAGTACAGCACAGCTTATTTTAGAATATTTGAAGCACATTAATAAAACAAGTCCTCTACAGTATATGGCCTTGGCCCTCCTCAAGCCCAACATTCTCAATTATTTATTTCTGTTATGCAGATTACTGCTTTTGCTTGGAACACTAATTTTTCCATGTCCTTCTGATAGCTTCAAGGGGTTTATGATCTCATTTTTGTTCTTGGAGCATTAGCAATACAAGAATATAATGTTTAACAAAGGCCATATGATTTTCAGAATGATGATGGAATTTGCACCATCATCAAAAATAAATGCTTTCTGTATTTATTTTCATCCAAGAATCACTGAAAGAAACAAGAAACCACCAGATTACTTTGCCAACTACAGAGAGCCATTTACCAGGGAAAACACCCACATATTTTCTATTCGAGCTAATTCTTTAAAACAATTTTTATTAATAAAGAGTCCTAAATCTCTGGTGATGTGATATGGCTCCTGCAGACCCCAGCCATGGCAGATGGCAAGCACGTGAGGCAGGGCTGGCAACTCATCAGGACAAATCAGGACTATTAGAAACAGATACATCCACCCGAGACCTGACATCTGCTTGGATCCCTAACAACTCTCCATTTCCTGACACACAGAACAACCAGCCTTAGATAAACTATTTATAACTGAAACCTTACTAAGAAGTGGGACTCAAAGATCTGGCAATCACAGACACACCATCTCCAGGACCACCTCCCATATGAGTTACCTGACCTGCACACCCAACAGCCAACACACATTAAATGGAACTGATGTGCCATGAGCTCTTGGTTGCCAAGTAAGACATTGGCAAAGAGATGGATTTTTGGAGATTGGGAATCTTTGAATATAACTGCTTTCTACATAGTCTTACAAGGTGGATTTACAAAGTATTTTTGCTTTCAAACCCACTAATGTCTTTAAAACCTCTACCAGAACACACAGCACGTGAGTGTGCAAACAGCAGGGAAGCATATGGGTTAGAAATGCAGATCACTTGGGGAAGAGAGGGATTTTTTTTTTTCCAAAAGAGTGCTTATTAGATAGTCTTTCTAAAAATTTCAGCCTGTGAAAAAGAAGAGGACATATGCTCATCACCTGTCTCTGAGACATCCATCTTATTTTTCCAGTTAAGAAGCCAGTCTTCCATGAAATCTCCCAAAAACCTAGCAGATGGGTTGAATGACTAATTGTGAGAAGACTAGTTCCACAATTAAAAAATCCTACAAAAGAGACAAATAAGGACAGCCACAGGAGAAGCCTGGTTTAGAGCAGGATCTCTCAAGACCCAAGAAGTGAGCTGCATGATCGACGGGCAATAATTACTTCATATGGAGAGGAGCTATGTGGCATATTTAGAGCCTTTAATTTCTATTCCCTTGTTCAAGCGAGATTATTGCTCCCCATAGCCAATAACAATAGATTTCTTAAGTTTCTTCTGATCTGCCAGCAAAGCAAATATCCTCTGGTAAATCTATGAACTGAACATGATTTTTCATTTGAACAACAGCACAGTCAATTCAATTTTCCAGTTATAAGTCTCAAGCCTCTCCCCATCAGCTTGTTAGCGTACAAGTGCTGTACTCTAAAACATGCCTGGAAGAATCTCCACAGACTTTGCCATCCCAAGTTGCTTCTGAACACTGAATTCATTGCTTATGAATCACTTCACTGTATGTAAACACTTGAATCACTAAGCCACATCCAATATTGTACATAGTAATCAAGTGATGCTGTCACAGTGGATTTTGTAACGACGAACGTCTGCGTGGGTGCACTGAGGCAGCTCTAAAAACGTGGTTATTAGTGCCTTGCTTCTGAAAAGCAGGTTTTGCCTCTTTGTGAGCATATTTTATCTGCAGATGCTAAATGCCTGTAAAATATTTTCAGGCTTTGTGTTTTCTTGAGATACTCACAAGAGTCCCACTAGCCCGCTAAGACTGTTCACGTGATAAAAACAGCACTGTATTTTTCCTGCTATTTAAGAGACCTAGAACCTAGAGCAATGATGTAACAACATGACCAGGGCTTATGTTGGCATGTTATTTCAGCTGAGTAGCCTTCTGCATCAGGTCAGAGAGAGAAGAATCCAGAGGAAAAAAAAAAAACATACACCCAACACAATCACTCCTAAAAGCAACTCATTTTCTCCCCTTAAATTAAAATGCTATAAAGCACATCAATGTTCCTTTCCCCTGAAGCATTCTAATAAGTGTTTAGGCTAGCTTGTTAAAGTGTTGCATGGGGTTCCTTAAACACTGTTAGGTGCATTTTTCCTCACAAAGTGGCACAAACCTTGATGCCGAGCTCTATGTTCTCCCCTCCATACACATCCATCCCAGGGTCGAGAAGTCCAATCTCTCCAAAGAATTTCCTGTGCACGACAAAGGAGCAACCAATCATTGCTGGCGTCCTGCACGAAGAGAAAAACACCAGAAATGCACAGTTATTGACATTTTCCTTTGGTTTTTTTTTTTTTTAATAGACAAGGGTTAATTTCTGCAAAGCTCCTGTTGGCTTCAGGTGCCTCCTGCCACTGGCTATCCCAGAGACTTTGTGGCAACGAGTGAGCTCTGCACCTTTGAAGACACTATTTTAGCACTGCAATGAAGCTGTCCACTATTCAAGTTCGTTGCACTGTGTACAGACTGGAGAAAAGAGTTCTCCTGGGATTAAATTACTGAAAAGCTTTCAGGTCTTGGCTCTGTCACAAATAGCTTGGTGTGCCCATGGGCAAGGGCACAACTCTTTTGGGTTTCCATTCCCCATAAGTGAAGGAAATGTAATAATGCCATTTCCTTTCTCTTACTTTCTTCTAGCGTGTCTAGTACCAGAGTAACTTCAGGACAGGCACTAGTTTTTATGGTGTCCGGTGAAACAGTTTCTAATTGGGTTCTTTATATTATATCATATCACTAAGGACTCATCACCAACCAGCAACAAGCTAACCTGCACATCTGCAGAAGCAAATCCTTTAAAAACTCAGGACAACTGCTTGCAGAAACATCTGCTGTATCATGTGCCCAGTTCCCCCAGTACCACCAGGGCTCTGGGCTAGAGATCAAGTTGTCACAGTCATGCTGCAAAACCTCGTGCCCTCCAGCTAAGAGCACTGCTTGGCTCAACCTCTGCAAGAGCAGCCAAGCACAGTGTCCAGTCAGGGAAAATAATAATAGTGAAAAATGACAGCAGTAGTAACAAGACTGACATCAACAGAATAGCAGAAAGATTGAGGAAAATCTCAGTTTATAATAACGATGCAATTTCAAGGACATAATGGATGGTTGTGTTTACTAACGACCCTGGTGCACAGTCCCTCCCTCATTCCCTTGCAAAACATGGGCCAGATCTCCACCTGATTCAACTGTCCTGAGATGAGGCTGCTGTCCTGATTCATGCAAGCTGAGATCACATCTGGGGGGAGTTCTTGAGTGGTTAAACACTTGTGGCCCTCTCCATAAAATTACCCTGAGCTACAGAGCACGGCACTGAACAGCACCACATCGCTGTGCCCTTGCTGCTTGGGGGTACACTAATCTGCTGCAGTTATGGGATGTGGAAAGTTTACCCCTGGGATATTTTCTGTACTAAAATAGAAATAGAAAAACCATTCTCCCATGTAACTTGCTTTCATCTGAATCCACGCTGTAAAGAAAAAAA